TCAGAAAAAGTAACTTGGAATGTTTTTGTTGTTCTGAGTATTGAGATTTATTTTTTTGTTTATTTCTATGCTTATTTTATGTGAATGTTAAATGTATACTTGAAGAAAAATTAATGTGTGTATTAGATTAAAGTGTTAATTTTAATATGCAACCCCACATATCCCTTATGCATTAGATGTCTGCTTGCTTTGCTGATGTCTGAGCAATATATATCTCCCATTATCACTGTAGATTTGACAGTTTCTCATTTTATTGCTATTAGCAGTTGTTTCATACATTTCAAAGCTATGTTATTTGGCTCAGAGTAGTTTATGATTATGAAATTTCTTGGTGGATTTTAATGATATATAAAATTTAATCCATTTGTTTTGTATAGTCTGTCTTGTCAGTATTGCTACAGTGCATGATTTTGCAAAAATGCTTATTTTTTCTGTACTCCTTTATTTTCAGATTTACTCATTTGCTTTAATTTTATCTCATCTCAATAGCATAGTTTATCTTTGTGTTTTCAATCTGAGAACTTGCTATTAAGAAGTTTGTTCAGCCCTGGCCGGTTTGGCTCAGCGGTTAGAGCGTCGGCCAGCGGTCCTGAGAGACCCGGGTTCGGTTCCCGCTAAGGGCACGTACTTCGGTTGCAGTTTGTCCCCGGCCCTGGTTGGTCGTGCGGTGGCAGCCACTCGATGTGTCCCTTCACGTCGATGTTTCTCTCTCTCTGTCTCTTCCTCTCTCTCCCTCCCACTCTATCTGTACAAAGAATGGAAAAATGTCCTCGGGTGAGGATAAAAAAAAAGAAGTTTGTTCATCTATATTTTTTGCAATTATTGATATGCTTGTACTTCCTTATTTTATGATTTTTCACTTAACATGCTTTCTTACTGCGTACTCTCACCTCCTCTAGTCTCTCTCTTCCCCTTTCCTTACTTGCAACTGTTTGTTTCTTTTACTTTCCCCAAATATATGTTTGGAATTTGTACATCTTATTTATATTATTCTAGGGATTATCTTTTAAGAGTTAAGAAACACACTGAAACTTACACATTTGTAGTTGATCAGTATCTACAGTCGATCCAGTGAATCTCAACATGCTTTAGTTTTCCTGTTCTACTGTTTCTTGCCTTCCTGCAATTCCCCCATCACTCTAACTTTATCTTATATTGAGATAGTATGGACTTTTGTATCTAGAATTCCTTTTGATGGTGGTGAAATTGCAGCTTTTCCATCCCACTTGAGGAACTATCTTGAGTACGGTGCTGGTGATTCAAAATCAGTTCCGTTTTCATTTGGAAAATATTGCTGAATTGTCTTTCTTCAGCCAGTGTTACCTGTAAAAATATTAGGCTTGTTGGAAAATTTTTCTGTTTAGATGCAACCTCTCCCCAAAGTTTTCAGGGAAAATTGTGTTCAAACATTGAACTTACTACTTTTTCACCTGTTTCCATTCTTTTACTCACAGCCCATTAGTGTTTTATTTCACTAATTAAATATTTAATCTCTAATTTCCCTGAAGATACTGTTTTTTATTTATTTATTTTTTATCCTCACCCGAGGACTTTTTTTTTTTTTTGGCATTTATCTTCAGATAGAATGGGAGGGAGAGAGGGGGGAAGAGAGAGAAAGAGAAACATCGATGTGAGAGAGACACATCAACTTATTGCCACCCACACACCCCCAACCGGGGCTAGAGACAAACTGCAACCGAGGTATGTGCCCTTAGCAGGAACCGAACCCAGGACTCTTCAGTCCGCGGGCTGACGCTCTAACCACTGAGACAAACCGGCCAGGATGATACTGTTATTTTTATTCAAAGCTATTTTTTTATTATTTTATTATTTTTGTTTTTCCATTGAGGCATTTTATTTGCACATGTGTATTACATCCCTAAAAAAAGAATCCCAGGATTTTCCCTCCTGTGTGTTTTCCTCTTGCTTCTTCCTGGTCCATGATGCCCGCTGAGGTTGTCAGTACAATGAAATCAAACTGATGGGATGAAAGCAGGTTGTTCTGCCATTTTTCTAGATCTTTATGTTGCGCATCAAATCTGGGGCTGATTACTCCACACTTGTTCAATCGGCCTGTGAGGTTCACAACAATTTCCCCAGCTCTGTGGTCATCAGTAATTTCAAATTTGCCAATGTAACCATGCTTCATCATCACAGTTAGAAACCAGACGATGACTTTGGAGCACGGCCTGATAAGAACCTGGCGTTTGCCTCTCTTTTCAGCCTTGTTGATACTCTTCAGAGCATCAGCCAGGACATTCATGTGCACCATTATGGTAGCACAGAATGATGGCAGAAAGAGAGCGATTCAAAGTTATTTTTACCTTTGCGATGTCACCTCCCTTACCAGGATTTTAGTTCAACTGTCCATTAAATTTTATGCTTCTTACTGATTTTCCTGAAATGATTTGTGATTTTTGGTTGTGTACTCATTTTTGTGTTTGAGAGTTGCTGTCAGCTTATTCTGTTATCTGTAAATTGTAATTGTATGAGAGAAGCAGGCCTTACAGCTTGGGGATGTAGGCATGTCATGTTTTCTCTAGGTACTGGCTACTTCGGTCCTCGCTCTGCCCCTCTAGCCTGGATACAGCTGTGTGCTCTGTGCAGATGTCCCTGCAGTTTGCTTGGGAGGACACCGCCTGCTCAGCTGTGTTGACTAGTCTCATATTTACCTAGAGATTCCTGCTTCTGTTATTTTTAATAGTCTTTGCTTACATGTTGGAGCTTTGAGTTCTCTCATTTTCTTTTCTCCAAAGTTATGATCCTGATTACTTCTGTTTTTCAGAATTTCTCGAAAATTTCACTCTTTTTTGTTTCCTATTCCCATTTTCTGGTTTATTATTTTTGAAATATATCTCTTCAGCCACTCCATGGCAATTTAGATGGGAAGGAGGTAAGAAGCATGTGCTCAGCTTGCCACACAGAACCGTTATAAATGGTGGCAGTCATCTTCGTTCTCAATATGCTGTGTTTCATAAGTGGTACAAGAGCATATGCTCAAGAACAGTGTTCTGTGAACTTTTTGTAAGAAGTTATTTCCCTAAGCTTCTATAGTTAGTTACCTGCAAAGCACCACAATCATTAGCAACTTTTTATCAATTACATATGTACTTTCATATAATTATCTGTGGTCAGATAATCCCTTTAATATGCTTTTAATTCCTTATATAATTATCATTTTCTAATATGTTTTGGTATTACCCTTTTATAGTGACATTAAAATTATAATTTGTTTCCATGGGTGACATTGTTCTCTGGTGAAGGTGGGATGGGGCTTGGGCACCGCAGGTGATGAGATCTCTCTCTTAGCACTTTTATGGTCATGGGGCATACCATTTCTTAAGGGAGGGTTATTTTGTTGCAGTTAAATCTTAAGTATTGGTTTGTGTAGACATAAGAGAGTTCCTTTTATATTAATTACTGACATCTGAATGATACATCTTTGAGCTGTTTTCATTGTCACTGATAGGTATTGGAGGAATTTATATGACTGAATTTTGTACAGTTATGATTTACAACAGGGTTCAGATAGTAACTATTTTCATCTTTGTTGGCCATGTGATCTCTGTTGCAATTGTAACTCTGTTGTAGCTTGAAAGTCATAATACACTATGTAAATGAATGAGTGACTGTGTTCCAATAAACTTTATGGATACTAACATTTGATTTTCATATAATTTTCACATGCTAAGAAATTTTTTCTTTTGATCTTGCCCATTAAAAAATGTAAAAACCTTTCTAAGCTAATGGGATATATGAAAACAGGTGATGGGTGGGATTTGCCAGCTCCTAATTTAGAAGATTATATGATGACATGGAAAATAGTCATAATATAGGGTGTCCCCCCAAAATATATACACAATTCGAACAATTATAAAGCCAATGTTTATTAAAATACATTTCATTTTTAAAATGTAATAGAATCCACAGACATTGTTTAATTGTTTTGTCAATGCCTGTTTTCAAACTGATGTCCATTCTGATCTAGGCATTGCTGATAATGAGAAGCAATGGAATCACAGACATTGAAAAACATTTCGTGTGGTATTAGAGTTCATTCTTGTCCAATGGCTACTCTCAGTTCAGTGACTGTTGCTGGTTTTGTAGCATAGACTAGATCTTTTATCTTTTTTTTTTTAATCCTCACCCAAGGATATTTTTCTGTTTATCTTCAGATAGAGTGGGAGGGAGAGAGAGAGAGAGAGAGAGAGAGAAACATTGACGTGGCTAGACTTGATCTTTTAAGTATCCCCAGAAAAAAAAGTCTAGAGGTGTGAGGTCTGGTGAACGAGGAGGGTATTCTAGGAAACCCCTTCATCCAATCCACCTGTTTGGCAAGAAAGAAACATCCATTGGCCCTGGCTGGTTTGGCTCAGCGGTAGAGCGTCGGCCCATGGACCAATGAGTCGCTGGTTTGATTCTGGCCAATGGCACGTGCTGCACTTGCAGCTCGTCCTCAGCCCTGTTCTGGTCATGCGGGAGGCAGCCAGTCGATGTGTCCCTCTCATGTTGATGTTTCTTTCTCTCTGTCTCCCTCCCACTCTATCTGAAGATGAATAGAAAAGTATCCTTGGGTGATGATTAAAAAAAAAAGAAACATCCATCAAACTATCAGCTATTACTGTGTGTATGCATTTTTTTGAGACACCCTGTATTTTGAGTGAGGAAAAAGCAGTTTACGAGATAGTATATATAGTGTACTTCCATTTATGTAAAAAAGCAATCTTTAGTATACAGATAGCATTGGAAGAAGAGATATCAAAATATTAATGGTGAGTCTCTCTTAGTGGTTCGATTATGGGTTAATCTAAACTTCTGTACTGTTTATTTGTATATTCAGAATTTTATACCCTGAATATCTAGGTTGTTTTTTAAAATAAGCATTCTTATATCAGACGAACATTCAAAAAGTGACAGGATCTGTATATTTTTAGCAAAAGCGGGTTGTTTATTGTTATTTTGATACAATCTGTTTTGTTTACCTTCTGCTCCATTTTTAGCCGACAAGTCCCAAATTTGGAAAAGCTGACTCATATGAAAAACTGGAAAAACTAGGGGAAGGATCTTATGCTACAGTATACAAAGGGAAAAGCAAGTAAGTTCATTCGATTTTGAATATTTCACATGTAAAATGTACTTGTTCTCTTAACACTAAGCCACAGTATATTTAAATAATTTTCGTTTAAGATATAATAAATCCCCGCACCTCAGGTTTCTCTTTCTGTTCTTTTAAAAAGTGTGAAAGTCAATAGAACTGGTTTTCCCTGCTAACAGTTTTTGCAGACTTGTCCGATTTATCTTTTCTGTCCTCCCCCACACCGTGTCTTTGTTTTCTCTTTCTCTCATTGGAGTTGGAACCCTCTGGTGAGAATTTGTTTCCAGGTGAATAATATGAATAATTTCCCACAGAGGTTTGGCGTTTGCTTGAATAAGACTACTGGTTTGACAAAGCCACATGCATTGGCCATTCTTGATATCTTTTTTAATGAGCTTTTACTCCATCTTTCAGGAGTTACTTAATTAAAAAACACTGCATACTCTTTTTATTTTTATTTTTTTCTGTCTTCTTTGGCATCATGCTGCATATATTTTCACAGAGAGAAATAACTCTTCCCCCATTTGTCCTCTTCCCCCATGCTATCTTGGGGTCAGGGCACAGATTTGGATCTTAAACAAGCTCACCCTGACACGTTTCTGATAGGCTTCCTCCCCCTCCCTGATTGATTAGGAGAACAGTTACTGTATTTGGTAGCATGTAGCTCATAGAAAATGTAATGTTATTTCTGAAACAACTGCAGCAGACACAGCCTCATTTTACTTTAATTGCATTACCAAATAATGTTGAAAAATAATTTTCTCAGTTATTTCTATTTTTGTCTCCTTTTAAGTCATTATATAAATTAGGAACTTTTAAGCTAATTAAATAAAAAGATATAGAAAAAAATTCTCTGAACTATCATTTTATTAAAAATTTTTTTTTCCTTTATTGATTTTAGAGAGAGAGGAAGGGAGAAAGAGAGAGAGACAGAAACATCGATGAGAGAGAACATCAATTAGCGCCTCCTTCATGCCCCTCAACTGGGGATTGGGTCCACAACCTGGGCATGTGCCTTGACCGGGAATTGAACTGGCGACCTCTTGGTGCATTAGTCGACACTCAACCACTGAGCCCTATTGGCCTGACTGAACTATTATTTTAAACACACAGGGAATTTTGACTCTATGATGATTTAGGCGGTTTTTTTGGCTTTTATGGAATGTATTCTTTTTTTTTTTTAATCCTCACCCGAGGACATTTTTCCTTTTTTTTTTTGTTCAGATAGAGTGGGAGGGAGAGAGAGGAACAGAGAGAGAGAGAGAGAAACATCGACGTGAAAGAGACACATCGAGTGGCTGCCACCCGCACGACCAACCAGGGCCGGGACCAACTGCAACCGAGGTACGTGCCCTTAGCGGGAACCGAACCCGGGTCTCTCCGGACCGCAGGCCGACTCTCTAACCGCTGAGCCAAACCGGCCAGGGCTTCTTTTTTTTTTTTAATCCTCACCCGAGGACATTTTTTGATATTTTGTTTAGATAGAGTGGGAGGGGGAGAGAGAGAGAGAAACATTGACGTGAAAGGGACACATCAAGTGGTTGCCACCCACAAGACCCAACCAGGGCTGGCGGGGACAAACTGCAACTGAGGTACGTGCCCTTAGCGGGAACCGAATCCGGGTCTCTCTGGACTACAGGCCCATGCTCTAACCGCTGAGCCAAACCAGCCAGGGCTGGAATGTATTCTTATACCTTTGTTTATGATTTTTTAGTTCAGAAGGTGAAGGAATAGTCCTGATAAAGAAAAATATATAAGTAAGGAAGTCCAGAAATGCTGTAAGTCAAAAATACTAGTATACATTTTGAGATCTTAGATATTTGAAAAAAGAAGGTCCTTATTTAAAAATATTTTTTTTTATTTGAATGAAAAATAAACATGATGGGGCATGAAAACCAAACAAGTCTGGAGGGCCGCTCATGGCTGCACCGTGCTGTTTGAGTATTGTAGAATGCCATTGGTCACGGTCATGGTCCGAACGGTTGAGCTGATTTCATAGGTTGTGTCCCAGATTTTGAATTTCTTCTAAAGAAAGATTAGTACTCTATTGTATAAAAGTACTCGTATATTTAATGTTAATACCATGAAGATAACTGCACTGGGTTAAGCAATTATGTTAAATATAACCTGGCATAGGCATTGTCTTGTTTACTCTTCACAATGCTCTGTAAGATAAGGTCCTGTTCTGTCATCTCCAAGTGGCCGCTTGTCCAAGTCCAGACAGGTGGTTAGTGGCAATTCTTGTTTTGGCTTCTATCTGTCTGGTTTGAAGCATTATTTCCCAATCATTACACTAGACCTCTTCCACAGTGTAAGGCCTTCCTGGGGAAGAGTTGATCTTTGTTGAATATTCCAGATGGTTCTCACATATGCTCTGACTTGGTTTAATCATGAATCAAACAGGAGCAAACATACAATTTTATTATAAGGAAACAAACCAATCACTTTGAAGTGCCTTCCCACAAAAGATGTGCTCGGCTGATTCCCAAATGTAAGTTAATAACTCTATTAAATGTTTAACTTTAAGATTTATGTCACAATCTGGGGGATGGTTGAAAAAATCCTCCATTTATTATGCCCGGATAGAAGGAAGACTGCCTTTTGAGTACCTGCAATCTTTGAGAAGGATGGTTCTGGACAGTTAATACTTTTCACTCCAGCAGGTCTAAGTGTATCTTGTCAGCATTTCTCAAGCAGTTTTAAGCCTGCTGGTCACGCATAGTATTTAATTTCCTCCAGCTGGAGATGAAAGCCATTGACCACTCACCTCCTTTACGAGATGGCAGGCTGCCTGTGCTTGCTTGCTTGCTTTAAGGTGGCAAGGTCAGGCCAAAGGAAATAGTTACCTGCCATGCAGCAAGACGTGAGATCTGTGGTTGTTCGGGGTATTCCCTGAAGCACTGTGTAGTTTGAAGAGCGGGCTATGTTGAGATCCTGTTGCAGCATCCTGACCTCTCTCAGAAATGTCTGCAGCCCTGCCTCCATCTCTGATATTGTTCTTAGCATCTTCTCCAAGAGCAGCGATTATTATCTTACACTAAAGCTGCCCGGCATTTGTCGGGATCTCACTGATTTTTGGTTTGAGAGCATGTTATGTTATGTTATGTTATGTTATGTTATGTTATGTTATGTTATGTTATGTTATTTATTTATTTAATCCTCACCTGAGGATGTTTTGGGAGGGTGGGGGTTGGGGGAAAGAGAGAGAGAGAAAGAAACATCGATGTGAGAGAGACACATCAATTGGCTGCCTCCCACACATGCCCCTACCAGGGCTGGGAATCGAACTTGAAACCCAGGTACATGGCCTTGACCAGAAATGGAACCCGAGATCCTTTGGTGCTCGGGCTGACTCTCTAACTGCTGAACCACACCAGCCAGGGCATTGAGAGCGTTTTACATGTGTCAATGTACATGTGTCAATGTACATGTGTCAGTTTGGGATCTGCCATGAACCTCATTGCATCAGTCTGCTAGGGCTGCTGAAACAAAGTACCACACACTGGGTGGCTTAAACAAGAAATTCATCCCCTTGGAGTTCTGGGGCCAGAGTCTGAGGCCAAGCTTGTGGCAGAGTTGGTTCTTTCTGAGGGTGGGTTCTGTAAGGCAGACGGTCCCCTGCCTCTCTCCTGGCCTCCGTGGTGTGCTGGCTTGCAGGTGTGTCACCTTGATCTCTCCTCATGTTCACACGGTGTGCTCCCTCTGTGTGTCTGTCTCTGTCCAAATGTCCCCTTTTTATGAGGACTCACATCGTATTGCTTAGTCTCACTTTAACTTGATTACCTCTGTAAAGACCATACTTCCACATAAGGTCACATTCTGAGGTATTAGGGGCTAGAATGTCAACATAGCTCTTTTGAAGGACAAAATTCAGTCCACAACACATATGAATTTCAAATTTCACTATTTGGCATTGTGTTTATGACATTGTTCTTCTTTTCCTACTTATGGTCTGTATAAACCATCCTTTATTTCATGTTTCTTCTTTAAATAATCCAAGGAAAGGATATTTTCCCACAACAAGAGGTTTGTGTAATTGTTGATTTTGGTATAGTAGTTGCTGTTAGCTATACTTTAGAAACTTGAGAAGGAATAGAAAGGTTTTATTACTCTTGAGTTCTCTTGAGTTTTTAATTCCTGTAGGACACATAGGTCGGGGAGTTGACTGAGATTCCTATACTGTGCAAACCCCCTGGGTAATGAGTTTGGTTCTATAGATTATGGCTGATTAACTGCCGCCATATCAATATACAACTTCAAAAATATATTTTTAAAAAGCTTTCACTTTTCATATTTGAGTGGAGATTTTTTTCAAAGTGTTTTCTCCAGCTTCATATTTCTTTGTGCATGTGTGTGTTTATGTTTGGGGCAAGGAAGCGGTTTATCATCACTCTGACTATTAATCTCTCTCCTGGTTTAGTTCCCTTATTATTTTCTCTCTTCTCAATCCCTTTAACATTTAATATGGGATTTTAAAAAGTCATGCATTGTATAACTCTTCACATTTTAGAATGTGGCATTTTAAAATGTCTTTAATTCAACACCTTGAAGTCATCCTTTTACCTCTCAGTTTCCCAGGGATGTTTGTATATTACGACACTTGTTACTTTTTCTGAGCTTACTCACCTGATGATGAATGTTTATTATGTTATTTTTACATGTTTTCTATGCCGTGGGTGAAAAATAGGTATCTTAAATATGGATTCTGCTGTCAGGAAACTTAACAATCTTGAAGGGAGGTGGTCCGTATACATAAATGAGTGTATAAAGTTAGAATGTAATATGTCCTGTACAAACTAGAATACAGTAAGAAAGGCCAGGTAAAATGGTGTGGGGTGTCAAAAGCAAGGCAGAGAGGATGGTGCTGATAAAGTCTTTTAAATGTGTTCTCTCCAGTGGTGAGTGTTTGAATTCACAGACTCACTGGCTTTTTAAATTTTTTTATTTTTTATATATTTATTTTTAAATTCTCACCCAAGGCTATTTTTCCATTTATCCTC